TTTATTTCTTCAAATACACTTTCTATCCCTTTTTCTCTGTGTTTTTCTTCTGGTACCCCTATAATGCACATATTGCTCTGTTTGGATTGATCACACAGTTCTCTCAATATTCTTTCATTCCTGGAGATCCTTTTATCTATCTCTGCATCAGCTTCTTTGTGTTCCTGCTCTCTAATTTCTATTCCATTAATGGCCTCTTGCACCTCATCCAGTCTGCTCTTAAGTCCTTCCAGAGATAGTTTTATTTCTGTATTCTCCCTCCCAACTTGATCCTTTAGCTCTTGCATATTTCTCTACAGGTCCATCAGCATGGTTATGACCTTTTTGAATTTTGAATTTTGAATTCTTTTTCAGGAAGATTGGTTAAATCTGTCTCCCCAGGCCCTCTCTTGGGGGTTGTCTGGGTAATTCTAGACTGGACCAAATTCTTCTGCCTTTTCATCACAATAGAGGTAGCTATAGGCAGGTAGCACGTGTGTCAGCTGGGAGAAGAAAGTCCTTTCCTCCTTGTTGGTTGTCTTGCCCTGTTCCTCTGCCTGTGTCAGTTATCCACGCACCTAGAACAGCCTCCAGATTTATCCCCTAAGCTGCCATGGGTGGGATCACCAGAGCCCTACAGGGAGTGGCAGGTGCGCCAGGTGAGCTTTCCTGTGAGAATGGCGCCCCTTCATACTTGCCCCGGTTTCCTCTGCCTGCGCCAGGCAGCTGCACGCCAGCGGCAGCCCCTGGGTGTGGCCCGGGAAGCTGCGTTCTGGGAGGAGATTCTGGGCAGTTGTTGTGGGCATGGCTGCTCTCTGGCTGCTCCACCTATGTGGGCGCGCACAGCCACTCTCTGGCCATTCTGCCTGTGTGGGCGTACGCAGCCACTCTCTGGCTGCTCGGCCGCTGTGTTGGGGCCATGCCGGCTGTGGGAACGACTGACAGGCTGCCTGTCGCAGTGAGGGGCTTCAGGGGTGCGTTGCCACCCAGGGGCCTGGGCTGCCCAAAGTTCCTCAGAATTCCCAGCATGCTGAGTTGAGTGTGCTGGGATGCTTCCATCCAGCTCTGAGGCCCCTGTCCCTTTAAGACTTTCAAAAAGCACTCACTTTTCTTTTTGTCCCAGGGGAGCTGGCTTCGGGCACCCTTTCACAGATTTTACTTTTTTTTTTCTTAATGTATCAGAAACACAACAATCCTTTAATCTAGAAGGAATTAATTGCTGGACCCAGAAATTCAGGGACGCTGACAGAATCCTTAATTTCTTAAGCTGATGGCTCAAAAAAGCAACTGATTTTAAACTGGCTTCTCTCTACGCGTAAGACTCCCACAGATCCGACAAAGGGCAAGATTGTCTTGATGTCTTACTCAGTAAGAATCATGTATGTGGGGTCTGAATTAATGTCAGCTCTGAATTTTTCCTGCTGGGTGGAACTTGGTCGACTGAGTCCCCAGGAGATTCAATGCTGGCTCTGTGGCCTGAGCTTACTGGGAATGTGCACAGATTTTACTTTTCCGTTTCTCTAATATCAAGCACACCATGCAATGTGTGTCTGCACCTCTGGTGCAGATTACTAGAGCTGGTTATTCAGCAGTCCTGGGCTTCCACTCCCTCCCCGCTCCAACTCCTTTCCTCCTTCCAGGGAGCTGGGGTGGGGGGAGTGCTTGGGTCCCACCGGGCCACAGCTTGTATCTTACCCCCTTCGTGAGGTGCTGAGTTCTCACAGATGTAGATGTAGCCTGGCTATTGTACTGTATCCACTGGTCTCTCTTTTAGGAATAGTTGTATTTGTTGTATTTTCAAGTATATATATGGTTTTGGGAGGGGATTTCTGCTGCCATACTCACACTGCCATCTTGGCTCCTGCCACTTAAGTTTTTTATATACCTGGTACTGATTTTTTCTCCCAACTCTTAGAGAAGTATATATTTCCTCTCAGTGCCTTCAAATACATGAAGTTTAATTTTTTAACGTTTAGTTTTCTATCTTGGGATCTTCTGTCTTCAATTCCATTCTTGATTGGTTGCCCTCCAGCCTCTGGCAGAATTATTATCCTGAGACTTCCATTCACCAACACCTGAGGAATTCCACTGGCCTTTCTCCTATGTTAGGCCCTGTTTCCTTCTCTCTCTTTGTTTGCTTCTTCAGTTTCGTTTAGAAATCTTCTGGTGGTTTTCTGGAAAACACTGGGTAAATTTTAAAGTCCATCCTGAGCAAGTCACTCAACCTCTCTGTGACCGATGACACCCCTCTCAGAGTATGGTAGGCAGGAGTAAATGGGATATAAAGCACTTAGTGTACAGTCTGGCTATAACATAGGTATTCAGTAAGCAGTTATGATTTCTAATCCTTAACTGTAATATTCTTGGGAGACATTGTATCCTGTTTATATTTTGACAGCCTCCTACCCCTACTTCACTTCCTAGTGAAGTGCCTGGAACATGGGAATACATGGGAAATGTTCAGTTAGTAGGTGGGTAGATGGATGGGTGGATTGGATAATTAGCTAGTGACAGTGGGCACAGACTTCCAAAATTCAGGAGTGGATGTTCCCAATTTCCCAGCAGATTTCTTCCCTTGGTATGTGTTCTCCTCATCTTTGCTATTGGCCTTTAGGACCAAAAGAAGAAACAGTGAATGATTTCTGGAGGATGATCTGGGAACAAAACACAGCCACCATCGTCATGGTGACCAACCTGAAGGAGAGAAAGGAGGTGAGTGGAGAAATTAAATAGGAGCGTCCCTAGTGCAGGCATGAGGCAGCAGAGGGACTGCTCTGCTGGAGCTCTGTGCTTGAGTCTGGGCTGTCCTCCTTTTGTGGCTCCTGTGCCATTCATTCATTCAGACAGAATCCAGACTGATATGCCCACCAGACTTTCCTGTGGCCTGGAAACCTCCAGTGAGCCCCAGGGATGAACCTAAGACACATTCCTTATATCTGGTAGTCAAAAAACTCCCTCTGGTTCCAAAACAACCTGGAAGAAAGATTTGGGCCATTAGTCAAAGAAAGGTCACAGAGGGGCTTTTCTCCCCTGGCTTCTCTAGTCCCCCATTTCCCTCATTTCCTGTCCCTCCTCCTGAGTCAGAAGAGGGAACTGTATGAACTGAGACCTTGTGGGGTACAAGGGAAACTGAGGCTCTGGCCTGATCCTGCAGGCAGTCTTCTGATGTCCTTTCTTTTTGTCGCTGCCAGGTCCATGCCAGGCCACCCCCAGCACTGGGCCACAGGCAGCTCCAGTCCTGAGTCAGGCTCACGCCACAAAGAGGAATCCCCAGTTCATGGCAGTCTGTCTGCAGGATGGCTGTAGAGTCACCTTGATCCCCACATGGGTGTTGGGTGTATTGATCAGCAGCTTCACAGTGCTCAGGAGGGATAGCATAGGGCTTTAGAGGTTCCTTTCCTCCAACTGGACCTCTGGCTTTTAGAAGCTGTCCAAGGCCCAGGCACCGGAGAAGGCTGTGGGCCTCTCATGGCAGGCTTACATCTGCATCAGTCTACCCTGGTGATCCACTCCAAGCAGGCTGCTGGTTCCAGGGGATCAGGCTTGCCCCTAGAGCATGACCTGAGGTATTATGGAAATGCAGATTTTATAGATAAAATGGCTTCCAATCTGCCCTGACCTGAAGGAATGGGGGTGGGAAAGTGAGAAGTCTAGGGCTAGGGCTATGTATAAATTAAGGGATTGTGCTAAACTTGGAAGCTGAGGAACTTGAAAAAAATGAAACAGTTAAATAAGTCTGCAACTGTCTATGGTGCGAGAAGAGGCCACAGGACTTTCTGGAGACTTCTGTCTGGGCTTTCATGGTCCTTTTCATGCTGTTTGCATCTGCTGGTGGTGGGTGGTCTGAGGTCAGGGGATGCATGTCTGTTCCTTTCCAGTGTAAGTGTGCCCAGTACTGGCCAGACCAAGGCTGCTGGACCTATGGGAACATTCGTGTATCTGTAGAAGACGTGACCGTCCTAGTGGACTACACAGTGCGGAAGTTCTGCATCCAGCAGGTACTGTCTTCTTCCTTCTTGCTTGTCTCTCTTTTGGCATCTGCTGACTGTTAAAGGGGGTGGAACAGAATGAGTCATCCCCCACTCTTATTCAGGGTGCTCAAGAACTGCTGAGTGTGTGGTATGTTTGGATTCTGAAATCAGAGATCTGGGCTCCCAGGGAACTTTTTTGTAAAAAGCTAAGGGAGGGATATTTTCGTGACTGGGAGAAGAGTATTGAGGTGAAGTTTGATCATCTTAGGTATGAACCAAGTGCATCAGGATGTGGTGTAATCTGGGTACTTGACTTGCCTCTGCTTCCTTACTCCAAAGGCCGCTGACATAGACGATGTGGTGGCCGCTGCTCTTGGCCCTCCAAAGCAATCCTCGAGGCTTGAGCAAAGGCTGCCTTCAGCTGAGGAGCAGTCTGGTGCTATGGGAAGGTTACCAAGAGTCAGGGGACCTGCATTTTAGCTCTGACATTGTCATTTACTACTAGTTCTGGGACCTTAACCCCAAGCCACTTAACTTCTCTGGGTTTCATGTTCCACATTTTGTAGGCTGAGAATAGGAACAGCCCTGCCTGCCTTGTGGGGTTCCTGGGAAGAGCCTCTGTCCCTGGTTAAAACCTCCTTGGGTAGACTCTCACTTACCCATTGTCACTGACAACCATAGCTGGCTCTCATCCCTAAGCCTCTTCTTCCCTCCCCTGGTGCTGCGCGCCCCAGGGTATCAGGGCCAACCCACAGGCTCTCCTCACTTCACAGGTGGGCGATGTGACCAACAGAAAGCCACAGCGCCTCATCACTCAGTTCCACTTTACCAGCTGGCCAGACTTTGGAGTGCCTTTCACCCCAATCGGCATGCTCAAGTTCCTCAAGAAGGTGAAGGCCTGTAACCCTCAGTATGCAGGGGCCATCGTGGTCCACTGCAGGTCAGTGTGGCCCAACCCCTTGGTTCCCCACTCACACCACATTCTGTTCCATGGCTAGAGCAGGGAAAAGTGCAGAGTCCCTGACTAAGAAGCTGGCACAGAGCAGATGAGCTGTTGGGATCCCAGGGCAGCAGTCAGAGAGACTCCTTACGTGTTAGTGCTGGGTAGAGAGCACTTGAAAAAAGGAGGGGCAGTCCTCCAAGACTGGGGGTGAGGAGACTACTGCTATAAAGCCAAGAAGCTAGGCTGGGTGCTGCCTTGTGTACTTGGGGCCTTCAGACCCTTCCATGTGTCATGGCTCCCTGGTACTGATAGCTAGAGGTAAGGAGCGTGGGTACAGCAGAGTTGGCTCCACGAGAGTCCTGGCTCTACCCAGTTCAGAATTAGATTTACTGTCCTGAAGAAAGAGCCCCAGCCTGTGCCACCCCCTGTCTGTATGCTCCCATAAGGCCTGCTGGCCATTCTGGTGACACCTGCTGTCTGGCTACAGTGCGGGCGTAGGGCGCACAGGCACCTTTGTCGTCATTGATGCCATGCTGGACATGATGCATACGGAGCGGAAGGTGGATGTGTATGGCTTTGTGAGCCGGATCCGGGCACAGCGCTGCCAGATGGTGCAAACAGACGTGAGTGATTTGCGGGTGAGGTGGGGCAGGGGGCATTCCAGGACCACCAAAATATCTGCCCACCTCATGGATTACTCAGCCTTCTTAGGTTAGTGTACATGATCATCATACTGTGTGATGAAGGGCCCTTATAAATTTTGTATTAAAAGCCACATGGAGCACAGAGGAAGTTGTGCCTGTGAGATTTGGGAGGTCAGGTGTCATTTGCAGTCAGCTCTGAGGATAAGGAGCAGGTCCTGAGGGAAGCAGGCACGTGGGCAGTGCTCACAGAGTTGTGAGCAGCTCAGCCATGTCCAGGAGCAGCAGTGCGATCAGCTCTGTGGTTAGCACACACGGTTCAGGGGCAGGGCACAGGGAGGGAGGCTGGCAGAGGTTTCATGCATCACGAGAGTTTGACAGCCCCTTCAGACTAATGATTCTGTGCTTTCAGAGTGAGCAGGAGTTGGGCTTCTCCTCCTCTCCACTTCCACTCTAGGAGGGCACCAGAGTAGGACTCTCCCTCCCAAGTTAAGCACCCTCAGAGGGACTCATGCATTTCAAGTCCTGCCTTACTAAATTAGGACTGTGGGAGTGAATCATTTTATCCCTGCTAGAATCAAAGGAGAGGTAGACTGGAGTGAAATGGGGGTGGGAGGGAGTGATCTGGTACCACAGAGAGCACACTGTATGTAACTGCAAACTCAGGCAGCATTCCCATTTCAGATGCAGTACGTCTTCATATACCAAGCCCTTCTGGAGCATTATCTCTATGGAGATACAGAACTAGAAGTAACCTCTCTAGAAACACACTTGCAAAAAATTTACAACAAAATCCCAGGGACCAGCAATAATGGATTAGAGGAGGAGTTTAAGGTGAGTTGGAGCAAAACCACCTCTTTCAGATGGAGAGATCATGTGATCTGGGGCATAGGGGATGTTAGACTCTCTGTGAATTTACCAACAAGTAGTAAATCCTCTTTTGAGGCATGTGAGTGGTTAAGGAGATGGGTCCCTGGCCCTTTACTCATACCCTGTCATTCTCAACCCATTCTGCTTGTTAGAATCACTGGTGGGGGGGTGGATTAAGACCCCTAGTTCCCCTCTTCTTCCCTGTCCCACCCAGATGTTCATAATGGACAGCAAGAGCAAATTTTTCTGTAAGGACCAGATAGTAAATACTTTAGGCTTTGCAGGCCCTGTGGTCTCTGTTGCAACTTCTTACCACTGTGGTTATAGCACAAAAGCAGCCATAGGTACTATGTAAGCACATGAACATGACTGTGTTTCCATAAAAACTTAATTTATAGGCAGCAGGCCAGATTTGGCCCATGGACCATAGATCACTTACCCCTGCTGCATGCCGTTAGATGATGATTCTCAACACACAGCCAAGGAATATTTCACACTCTTATCAATAGAAGTGCCCCCGGAAGCAAGAGATTCTGGGGTTGGGGGAGAAGACCGCACTCCTTAAAGCAGTCCTCCGAAACTGTAATGTGTATATGAATTACCTTGGGATCCTGTTAAGATACAAGTTCTGGTCAGATCTAAGTCAAGGCCTAAGATTCTGCAGTACTTGGAAGATGAAGCTGATGCTGCTACTTTACAATGTACTCTTTCTCTGTGTGCCAAGGATCAAGAAGGAACCTCGCAATCAGGGGAAAGGAAGATGTACATTTGAATAAATTTTTCTGAAGAGTCCAAGACAGCCTCTGTCTTAGAGCTGGGATGCTTCTGGTGGAACAGCAGGGAGAGAGGGAGGGTGAGCACACTTGCTCCAGAATCACAAAGTTCCAGCTCAAGGGAATCCCAGAATAGTCCATAGGAACATGGAAGGCAGTGTTTCCCAAAAAGTCTTTTGGCTTGTTCACTGGGCTCAAAGACAGAAGAAAGTGTTCCTACACAGTGTTCCTCCTAATGGAGGTCAGGGCTCTGGTGAGGAGCAATATGCAGCCAGACTGGCCTGGAGATGCAGGGCTAGTGACAGGCCTAATCTTGTCAAGCTCAGTTACTGGGGTTAGTAACATTTCCCCTCTCCTTCCCAATTCAGAAATTAACATCAATCAAAATCCAGAATGACAAGATGCGGACTGGAAACCTTCCAGCCAACATGAAGAAGAACCGGGTTTTACAGATCATTCCATGTAAGAGCCCTTTCCCCACCCCAAAGGCTTCGTGCCCCCTCCACCCCTTCCTCTTCTCAGGTACTAGTTAATGAGCAGCTTAGAGACAAGAATTATGGCATTGCCTCTTGTTGCTCTCAGTTCTTTAGTGGCTTCTAGAAATAAGATCATGAAGGCCAAAGAGATTGGGCCTGGAACAAGCATGTTATGTCCAGATCTTGGGTGGGTGGAAAGATGGAAAAAGAGGGAGGAGAGGACAGGTGACGTTGGAACCACAAGCTGCTGTCCTTCCTGCAGATGAATTCAACAGAGTGATCATTCCAGTTAAGAGGGGGGAGGAGAACACAGACTACGTGAATGCATCCTTCATTGATGTAAGTAGCAGCTATGTCCCTCGAGTCCAAACACTCCACTGAGATTGAGCTGGGCCTTGTAGTACTGCCCTCGCAGTTCTTGGGAGGATTGCCTGAGTCAGCCATTCTGTGCACTCGGTCTGTCAGGCCCCAGAAAGCAGGAGGTGGGGGGAAAGAGAGGGCATGCACCAGGGTAATAACTAAAGGGAAAAAGTTCACAACACAAACCACAGCCAAAGGCTGAAAACTGATCTTTCCCATTCCTGCTTTCTTCATCCCAGCTCGAACTCCTCTTCCCTCACCCTCATAGAAAGACACCAGCGGGTCAAACAGGGTTTAGTCCTTGACCAGCAGGGAGCTCTGCCAGGGACTGGCTTGCCTCCAAGCAGCCCCATCCCTTCCTAGTGGCCTGACTTCTCCCCTAGCCCCTCCCTGATTAAACCACCTCACTCCTACCATTGACCTGGCCTGGACAGGGCTATCGGCAGAAGGACTCCTACATCGCCAGCCAGGGCCCTCTTCTGCACACAATTGAGGACTTCTGGCGAATGATCTGGGAGTGGAAATCCTGCTCTATTGTGATGCTAACAGAACTGGAGGAAAGAGGCCAGGTGAGCTCAAAAAGATCCTGGACTGTGGGAGATAGACTGCATGAAAAGGGGGAGGGGAAAGCTAAGAAGGTATGTTTGAACTTTTTCTTTGACTTAAACTGTGCAGAGAGCTATTTCCAGGCAGTATTGTCAGTTGATTGGTATCTGAGCAACCAGTTAGCTTCTCTCAGGTCTGGAGGAGCACTGTGGTCTGAGCACTCATATGGTTCCCAGACAGTTCATACCCCCTTTCTTCTCTCCTTAATACAACGGTCCCCTAGCCTAGCTTTGTGCACATCCTCCTCCCTGCTCCCCAGGCAGGGCAGAGCTAGTGAGCCAGACCAAAGCTGTGATTCTCTAAGAAGAGGGTGCTTCCAAGAGAGAAATGAACAAGACAGGAGGACTTGTGGGAAGATGAGTCATCTCTTTGCTGACTACACAAAAGAAAGCAATAGAATTTGAGAAATAACAAAAACAAGAATTTACAAGTTAACATTCAGTAACAAGGAAGTATTTTAAAGTAAAAAGCCCTCAAGTCAATTAAAAAATAAATTTGGGAACTCAGAATATAAAGGGACCTTAGAGGTTCCCTAGGTCAGCTGCCACTCAGTATAGGATGTTTCTTGTTGCTGAGGCAGAATCACGCAGCCTCTACAGAACACTATCAATCCTAGGAATTACTCTTTCTCTGTCCACCTCCCATCTCCACTTCTGTCTGAAGTACTGAGTAGCCTAGTCTATGTTCAGTCAGTGCCTATTACCTTCAGAACTCTTCCTATTGCAGTTGTACAGCACAGTAAATAGGTGCTTCATAATGCCTGGTGAGTAACTTAACAGGGATCAGAATCGAGAGAGCCTGGAGAAGCCAACAAGAGCTGGTGATAAAGGTCCTTCTAAGTCAAAGTGAAGAGTTTGGACTTCATAAAGCAGTTTATGAACCCTTGACAATATCAAATTTGTGGGGTTTTTTTAAGTTTCTCTGGCTCAGTGAGGAAGATGAACTAGAAGTGAGTGAGCCAAAAACAGAGAGGAAGCTGTGGCACCGCTGCTGGTGGCCTGGATGCAGCAGGGCTAGTGACAAGTGGTCTTCCTCAAGGGATGGTGAAGAAGTGGCATGGACTGGACAGAGGCAGAATGTACCCACTCAAGACTCACTGAATTTTCAACCAGTTAAAAATGTTTTACACTAATTGTTCCAAGCCGCATCTTCCCCATTTATACTTGTGCATTTTGGTTATTTGAACCTTGATACAGCTTTATATACATTTGCTCGCCCTGATGCTGTTATGTCAAGTTTTTTCAGGTGTACTCATGTAATTCATTAGCTGTTCTTTCCAGATTTGCATCACGTAGCTAATCAAAAGATAAATGTAGGTCCTCATCTGTCATTAATAACAATACTGATGAGGTAAGAGGTTTTGGGTAAGGTTTTGGGCTCTGCACTCAAGGAAGCATACACCTGAGTGACAGCCCAGTTGAGCAATGAGCTCCTGTGTTTTCAGGAGCTAGGTGCATGTTTCCTGGCACTCTCTAAAAAGCTATGCCAGAACATGCAGACAGATCAGGAACCTACATGAGGTTCCCCCACATTCCACTGTCCAGATCTTCTGCAGTCCAAAGAACAGGTAGGAAAACTGGGATGGTAAGCACCGTATCCTCAGTCCACTGCCCTGTGATACCTCAGCCTGTCCAGTCAGGTTAGCAGGCTCTTCCATCCTTGAAGACCTAGAGAGCCCACAGCAGAGAAGAAGCTGTGACAGTACTGCTGGTGGCCTGGACTTAGGAGTACTGTTGAGCTGTCTGCCCCAAGAGATGGTGAAGAGGTAGCATGGACTTATAGGGGGAGGGATTCAAGGGGCAAGGGGCAGAAGTGGGGAGAAGGGACATGCACACCCAGGTTCTCCATTGGTTAAGTCTGAAGTCAGTTGGCTAAGGCCCATTCTTCTCTGTTTACACTGTGCCATAGGCCTGTCTGCCTTGGGCCAATGTAATGAGCAGTAGCTCTTGCCCTCAGAAACTTGTGAAATGAGTTAGAACAGGATATTAATGATGTTCTTTACAAGGCCTTAATGCCCCTTAAGAGAAAATTCCACTTCTGGTTCGATCTCCCATTAAGTGTAGCTCCCAGAGATATTAACACAATAAGCCTACATGTTACAATGAAGGGTGTTTACATTTATACATGATACCACCACTTGCCATATCCAATTTTAAATTCCCAGAGAAAACGTTTTGATCCCAAAATATAAATTCTGTATACATTAAAATCCCAAAGCAATTAAAACTTAAAATTATCTTCTCCATACTCCCTTTTTTCTGCTCCATCTTAACCAGAAGGGTCTACCAAGATGCTTAGTAAGACCTGGGTTCCCTCAATATTGTAGCTTGGACCATCCATCCAAGTGGGCAGAGCAGCTCCAACAGTGTCCACACAGAGTCAGCCCAACTCAAGGCTGTGCTACACTTTCCAAAGATCAGCATCAGACCCTTGCCTCAGAGCTGTGTTCCCATCACCATTGTCAGCCTCAGACCTTGCAGGAGACTAAGAGTATCTAGAGGAAGGATAGTAGACAAAGACAGCAGAGGAAAAGACAGAAAAGCTTCTCTGTTCCAGCTTCTCTGGGATATCATTATCTAGAATCCATAACTTGAGCACATAAATCTAAGATTGAAACCCAGGTCCCAAGCATTCTGCTGTTCTTGAACACGTATTTCCCATTTCCCATCCCTCATCCACTGATGATTTACTTTAACACTTGGCTTACTGCCCCCACTTGGCCTCTTTTCCCATCACATGGAAGGCCTTCATATCCATGTGTCTGATCCATGTACCTTTGGTCTTTCAGCATCTCAGCTGACTCAGCCACCCAGTCCCTTGGGCAGACCATGAGCTTGTCATCCCCCTTATCTGCACTGCTTCTGCAGTCTCAATGGCAGGCATCCCACATCCCACCCTGTTTACCCCTCCTTTCCTCCCACCTTACTACCTCCCCCCTTACTCCAAGAATTCTTGCCTTCGTCAAGTCCTTAGAGCCATTGACTCCTCCACTTTCTCAGCCTCAGTATCCCCAGCTACTCCCCTTAATCTCTTCAGAGTCTGTGACTTGTCATTATTTTAATCCTTCCCTTTCTGACACCTGTTAATTATTTCATGTCTCTTACCCTCATGGCACTTTATCTCACAACCTGGCTCATTCTTCTCTAAGAAATCAGACAAGAACACTCTCATCTTCACACCCCAAGCAGCCAACCTGCTCAAATCTGCACCCACTCTCTCACCCTCTCTCCTGTTGCAGTGGGAAGGGGTTCCTACGTCTCTGAGTCCACCTGCCCACAGTGCTCAGGTCTCATCCCTCGTGCCTTCTCAAGGATGTTGCTGCTATAATTATCTTCTCTCTCTTACGTTCATCAACAGTTCCTCTCTCTACTCTGCTAATGAGCCTAAATGTTGTTCCTATCTTAAGGAAACAAAAATTTCTCTCCTAACTCCACATTTCTCTGCACTCCTTCCCAGCACAGTTCCTTTAAAGAGTTGGCTTTCTCCCTTCACGTTCTCTCTTCATCCTGTTCCTTCTAACGCTGGACTCCTCTGGAACTGCTTCAGTCAAGGTCACCAGTGACTGCTTTCTTGTAACTCCAAAGGTCAGTTCTCTTTTCTTGTCTGCCTTGTCCGTTTACAGCAGTGTCTGAAAAAGTCAACAGCTTCTTCCTCCTCAAAGCACTTTCTTTCCTTGACTTCATGATGTCACCCCCTCACTGGCCTGACAGCTCCTTTCATTTCCTTTGTGACCACCTCCTCCTCTACATGACCTCTGATCATTGACGTGTCCTAGACACAGGCCTTAACCCACTTCTGTTCTCTTTTAATACCCTATCCCTTGAGGATCACCTCTAGACCTATGGCTTTAAATATCATCTATATGCCAAAGATTCCCAGATCTGTGTCTCTAGCCCATTTACCCCCCAGCCTTCCCAGTTGTAGACTGAGGTAGCCCAATACCCACTTGATATCTTCACATAGATGTCTGTTAAGGATCTCAAAGTTCATATGGCCCAAATAAAACTTAATTTCCTCCTTCCCATCCTCTTCCCTCCATCTGAAGAAAGTCTATCACCTTCCACCCAGTTGCTGATGTTGGAAGTCTAGGGGTTACCTTCACTACTCCCCTCTCCTCACTCCCCAAATCTAGTCTGTCCATGAGACCTGACATACACTGAGTGTCTCCACTCTGCCCAGTGCAGCTACTGACACCCTCATGCAAACCACTGTCATCTCTTACCTGCATCACGGAAGTAGTAGCCTGGCAACTGGTCTGCCTGCTCCCATTCCCACCCCTGATAGTCACTTCTTCAAATGGCAGGAAGTGTTCCTTTTGAAAATGAAATTCTGGCTATGTCACACCATGTCTTAAAATCCTTCTTGGGCTTCCTGAGATCTTGAGGGAGAATCTACCCATGCATACAAAATTTTGAAATTTCATGTTGATGTCTTGTCTTAAGATTTGAATAGGGTCCTTCTCCTCACAGTCACTGGCTTATTTCTTTAGTTTCCATTTTCCCTCGTCCCTATCTGCCCTCCAGCTGCTGAGTGGGCATGATTTCTGAGGTCACAGCCTCTATTCCTTGAGAGTAGGTTTCCATATTTGTCACTGCCTTGCATTCCCCACAGGCCTGGTCTCTAGTTCTGTGCTCTCACATCTCCACCCTTAGCAGGATCCCAGAAGGTATTTTTTGGCCTAGTCACATGGGTACAGTTATTGCTGGCCTCTGCTCTGGATTCCTCAGGTCTGTGTTCTGCCTCCTAAGGAAAGGGGTCCCTGTTTACCCCAGAGGAGAATCACCCCAGCAATCTCTAAACTGAAGCTGCTCCTGTTGAACATTCCAAAAACCTGTGCCGTCTTCCAGCAGCTGAATTCAGCCTTCTGAGCTAGTGCTACCTCAGTAACAGCTCTTTCTGCTGTCTCCTTCCCCACAGCCATGAAAGGCACCTCAGGAGTACCATTTATTGTTCCCTTTCTCAA